CTTGAAGATTGACATCTCCAAGTATAGGGGAGTCGAAGAGGACTCCCTCTTGAGATGGTTCGTCGAATTGGATGACGCCATAAGGGCGCGTCGCATCGACGACGGGGAAATGCAAGTTGCATTTGCCCAGTCAAATCTGGCAGGACGTGCCAAGACTTGGGCACTGGGGCTCAAGTTGCACGACCCATATGCGTTTGGGTCGTTGGAAATTTTCAAGTCGCGGCTCAGACAAACGTTTGAACCGCCTAGAGCTGAGTTCAGAGCTCGAACCGAACTCTTGAAGCTCAAGCGGGGTAAGCGTGATGTGCACGCTTACGCGCAACATATACGACATCTTACGAGTTATATAAGTTCCAATCCGGTGGATGAACACACGTTGGTTTCGGTGTTCATGCAGGGTCTTACGGATGGTCCCGTCAAGACTCACCTGTTCCGGCTTGAACTAGATTCACTAGAACAAGCCATTTCCATTGCGGAGCAGGAAGACTTCAGTCTGAGACAGGCTCGCGCCAGCTCGACATCATATCGTCAACCGAGACGATATGACAGCGGAGGTCCAGAGCCGATGGAACTCTGTTATGTAGAGAGCGAGAAGGCTCGCTCTACAGACTACAAGAAGTTGCAGAGATGCAACAGATGTCAAAAGACAGGACACTACGCTTACGAGTGTAGTGCCCCTCGTCCAGTGTCTCGCAACACTGGGCGTAGTGACCGTCCACCCATGAGAAAGGGGCAGGGACGAGGGTCCGCTGTTGGTGCAAAGACGCAACAACGGTATGGACCGTCAAAAAACGTACAGGATCAGTAGGTGCGGAGCACCCTACTGGTCCAGCAACTTCAAGAGAATTTTAGGCCTCTTGATGAAGATTGCTCCCAACACACAAACGTTGTGCGTTGCTGCTCTAGGTAATGCGATCTCACTCATTACCTTGAAACTCGACGTGACAAATAAGTTGTCCCTTCGAGCTCTAGTCGATTGTGAGGCGTCCAACAATTTTGTGCGACGCCAATCGCTAGAAGATGGTCACTTTAAGTTCAGTGAATGTGACACACCTCCTACGAGGATGACGGTACGTCTTGCGACAGGCGCATCCGTAACTGTCATGAAGCGTATAGTGAAGATCCACTATATGCTAGAAGATACCCAATATGACGATGACTTCATCGTATTGGATTTGGATGACAAATTTGATGTCATCCTTGGAATACCGTGGCTCAGAAGGTACGAAACACGGGTAAACTGGCAACATCGAGCAGTAAAGATGCCTGCCGCTTGTTCTTCAGATGGCCATCTGATGAACGTTTTGGAGCGTCCACAAGCGTGTGGATGTACTACGAGTGAGTGCGATGGCCTCACTTGTGGTACGGTCGTTAGTACGACTGCACAAAACCTTAGTGTACCAAACGGTTACACTTCGGAGCAAAGTTCCGGCGGCTGTGAGGAAACACAGGCTGCGCCGAAGGTCCACCACTCGAATAAGTCGGGTGGACTGGGACAAAGATGTATCCCTAGCGGGGAACATCTAGAAGAGAAACGATCGATCGCTCAGGTTAAGCGTAACGATAATCCTAGATCGACTGGAGAGTCTTTCGTAGAGGATCTCGCTGTGGTTGCGCAACCCCAGCTAGAGGAAGTAAAGGGAATAAGTCCCAAGATTACAAATACGGCGGAAATAAGTTCCCCGAAACCCGAGGGAATAAGTCCCCGGGAAGCCGAAGGAATAAGTCCTTCGAAGCCTGAGGGAATAAGTCCCCAGGAAATGACAGAGACATTGAATTTCACAGTCAATAACGGATCAAGTGTAGGCGCTTATACACTTGATCTGATTGCGCCTCCGAAGTTGACTTCGGAGATCACTCAGTTGCCAACGCTCGAACATAAAAGTTTCTTGCGTGATCTGCGTAGTGGTAAAGTCAAGCAGATCTGCATACTCGTCGCTGACGACGAGTGTGTAACCGACATTAGGTCAGCAACAGTGTTCACTGAGAACTAGAGAGTTCTCAGTAGTTCATCTATGGACGAGAGTGTCCTAGATGAAAAGACACAAGTTGAGCGATGTGACTCCCAATCGTGGGAATCGCTCAAGAAAAATCCTCTCTATGAAGATTTGGTTGAATTCAAGGATGTATTCCCTGAAACTGTTCCGTGCGAATTACCGAAGGATAAATGTATTCGACACGAGGTCGAGCTTAAACCAGGCTCGAAGTACTGTGTCATGAAGCAGTGGCCACTGCCTCGTGAACAAGTACTTGCGATCGACAAGTTCTTTGCCGATCGTTTAGCTGCGGGCCATGTGAGGGAATCAACTTCCCCACATAGCTCTCCGACCTTCTGTGTGCGAAAAGCAACAGGAGGGTGGCGGATAGTGCACGCGTTCAACAAATTGAACGCTGCAACGGTACTGGCTCAAACGCCGATACCGAGGAAGGACGTCATCATAGATGGTATGGAAAAGAGTACCATCTTTTCGTCCATGGATTTGATGGATGTCTTCTATTAAATCCTTATGCGAGAACGGGACATACCCTATACCGCAGTGAGCACGACTAGCGGCATGCTCTGGGAATGGCTAGTAATGCCACAAGGGCTTAGTAATGCCCCTGCCACGTTCAACATATGCGTATCACATCTGTTGAGACCAGTACGAGAATTCGCGCCGAATTATTTCGATGACGTATTCATCCATATTCGGGCTATGGATGGAAAGTTGGATGTTGAGGTTCAAAGGTACCACGTTCGACAGGTTCTTGCAATCATGCGAAAGCATCAATTGTATGCAAACCTCAAGAAGTGTATATTTGCAGCAAGCGAAATACCATTTCTTGGGTGCATCGTTGGAAAGAACGGTGTACGTCCTGATCCCGAAAAGATCAAGGCGATCACCGACTGGCCTGTGCCGGTTGATGTCAAAGGTCTTCGAAAATTCCTTGGGCTAGCGGCGTAATTGCATAAGTATTCACGCAATTACGCCGAGATGACTGTGCACCTCTCTCGTTTGTTGAGAAAGAACGAGAGGTGGTTATGGAACGCTGAATGTCAGCGCTCCTTTGATGGTATCAAGCAGAGCTTGATACGATCCCCAGTCCTAGCAATAGCCGATCAGGACAGGCCATTTCATGTGGTCTGTGATGCCAGCGATTTCGCAATCGGCTGTGCATTAATGCAGTACGATCTTGAAGGCGTTGAACGCGTCGTCTGCTATCAGTCGCGTCAGCTGCAACCAGCTGAGCGGAACTATCCAGTGCATGACAAGGAACTCCTTGCCATGAAGTATGCACTCGCGAAGTTCAGAGTCTATCTATTAGGAGATAGACCCTTCATTGTTTACACTGACCATGCGTCATTACGGACGGCAGTGAACAGCCCGCACCTTTCACAACGAATGGCGCGGTGGTTGTCATTCTTTGCGGAATACAACTTTACGGTCGAGTACAAACCAGGACGACTTAATGTCGTCGCTGATGCACTCTCACGTCGTCCCGACTTTGAAACAGTCGCGAAACCCAACAGTGAGACAGTCACTGTTGCGGTTATGACGTCCTCAGTCCCATCTACAACGTTGTATGATGATGTGAGGCGGGCCTACGCCCAAGACGGTGAGATGGTGAAGTTGTTGACACATCTCTCACAGCCATCTCGAGAATCGTTGAAACGATTGTCGCCTGCGCATCGATCTGCATCAGATCGATACACTACTCGCAACGGTTTACTGTATTATACAGCCGTTTCAGGTGACACACCACGTGTTGTCATTCCATAAGATACTGATCTGCGTTTGCGGATCATTTTCGAGCATCACGATGCTCCTATAGGAGGACATCGTGGCCGGGAGAAAACATCTCTCACGGTGAGTCGAGACTTTTACTGGCCCCGCCAGTATCAGTTTGTGCGAAAGTATGTTCGCGCATGCGAAGTCTGCCAACGAGTGAAGTCAAGTCCTTCACTGCGTGCACCTTTACAGCCTCTACCGGTTTCGGCTGAGTGCTGGGAATCCATCTCAATGGATTTTGTCTTCGGGTTACCCAAAGACGCACGCGGGAATACGGGTATTCTTGTATTTGTTGACAGATTCAGCAAAATGGTACACCTTGTGGCTGTACCAGAGACAATCACGGCAAGTGGCTGTGCTTGTGTCTTTATCGACACCATCTTCCGACTTCATGGGTTGCCCCGTGAACTCGTATCAGACAGAGATCCACGATTCACTGCTGATTTCTGGCGTTCCGTGTTCAAATCACTCGGAACGCGCTTGAAGATGTCGACATCTGATCATCCAGAGTCAGATGGTCAGACGGAACGTGCCAATCGTGTCCTTGAAGAGATACTTCGAGGATACGTACACTCCTTTAAGAGTTGGAGTGAGTTTTTGCCAATGGTAGAGTTTGCCATTAACAACTCGGTGCATGCGTCCACGACACATACACCGTTTTACGTGAATGGCTTGCGCCATCCGCGTGTACCCACCTTACTAGAGTGTAACTCTGGTTTAAGGGGGGAGGGACTCGCGCGAGCAAAAACCGATTTGGTTCACGCTCATCACGCTCTGACGAAGAGGTCATTGCGTTTGATGCCGATATCGATAACATCGATATCGAAGAAGATGATGCCAGTGAGAGTGCGGAAGCCCTCACTGAAGAAAAGGTTGATGTTGCTGCAGTGCACTCACAGCGCACTGAAGCTAACGAGTCATCAGATGAGTTCATACTGGCTCGTGAAACGGTAGTCCGTTTTGTGCAAGATTCCATCGCCGAAGCGGTGGATAAGCAAAAGCAAAACGCTGACAAGAATGGATGGGCAAACACTCTTTTATTTAATAAGTGTGACTTAGTCCTACTGTCTACGGTTAATCTACCAAAGCATGTAGTGACTAACTTGGGTAGCAGTAAACTACTACCCAAGTACATCGGTCCATTTCGTGTATTGCACCGCCTAGGAAATGCATGTACAATCGAGTTGCCACGTAAGATGCGAACACATCCCACATTTTACGTTGGTCGGCTTAAGCCGTACCATCAGTACGCTGCTTCTTCCGATGAAGAACGCCCTTGCGCTCAAGCATCTCGCAGAGAGCCTTGTGCTCCCGATGGTGGGCATCGACAAGGGTCTGAAGAGCAGTTATCTCAGCCTGAGACCGATCAACAATCCCACGAGCTACCCTTAGCTCGTCACGAAGAGATGTCAGAGCTCTCTCGTTCTCAAGCTGAGCAAAGGCAAACTTAGCTCGATGCTTCGAGACAGTGTCCGCCAGTTGGAGACGCCTGTCCCGCTCATGTTCGAGATCGTTGCGTAACCCTTGCGTTACGCGATCAAAGAAGCTCTCGGGAACACACGGATCCCCATGATCGTGTGGAGAGCGTCTTTCCTCCTCCTCCACCTCCATTAGAGGATTCTCGCGGTGGACAGAGCTATCTAGTAGAGCGGCTGTTGAACCACCGCGACGTGAACGGACGTCGGACGAGTTATCTCGTCCGGTGGCGCGGCTATCCCCCGTCCTGGGATACTTGGGAGCCCCGCTCCCAACTGATGATCGACGTACTGGGTCTGGTTGAGCAGTACGGCGCGGAACATCCTGTGCCGCAGAAGGACCGCCGGAGAAAGTCTTCCCGGCACGGTCGTAAAAGGATTATAGGCTGTCAATCCCTTCGTACATCTCACTAGAGATACGTACGCGCCACTACGGGCTATTAGGGAGGTAAGCCTCCTTAGGTGCTCGTGCAGAGTTGTTCACACGACATGGGCACGAGTCTCCCCATGAGAGGCAGGGTAATCCTTTCTCCCTTGACAGACGATGCAGCTTGTAGCGTGCACCTGTCTGGGTTCGCTTTTTAAACTTATCACGAGCTTTGATAAGTTTGTCGTTCCAAGCGTCACGACCTACATCCTCAAGGTTATGGATGTAAGCGTTCCACGCTTGAAGCAGTGAGGGACCATAACGTTTGTGATTCCCACTGTACCATCGATGTCTAAGGAAAGCATCGATGAAGAATTCGTTTTCAGCGCGATAGTTTTTCGCGCTGGGGTCAAGGTGATGGATCCTTGACGAATCGAACAACCGTGTTCGATAACGATCACTCGTCGTCGCCGACAAGTGATCCATGACAGATTTGGGAGGCATCCATGCCTTCTTCTCAGGAGCGAGACGCAAGACATTGCGATCCCGCTCTTCCTGCGATGTGCCGACAGAAGGACTGGCACCTCGTTGCGAAGTGGTGTCCATTGGAGAACCGACACCACTGTTAGCGCCCGAGTCTCGCGACCTCGAGCGCCTTCGCTTCGGCGATGGTTCATCTGATGAGTCAGATGAACCAAAGATGCTGCGACGCAAAGCATCGTCCATGCCACGCTTGGCAGGCGGCTTGGATTCGATCGCCGTCGATACGGATCCGTCTTCTATATCAGGAGAGTATGAGACACCGAGCTCATACTCTGTGAAGACATGAGTGTCTTCATGACCAGCGCCTGCATCACCAAGTGACACAGGCTGAGTCGCTTCAGCAGCCGATGAGACATCAGTTGCTGTGGTTTCTGCTTCGGCGTCCGCACAGAGACGTGCGGACGCGCTCTCGGCGGCCTTGCTCGCGCATCGCATGGGCTTGTTAACCATGCGATGAAATGTTGGGAAGTGGACTCGGACCAACAAGTGCAAACCCTGTCCCAAATGATTTGGGACGAGTATCCATTTAGTCAATCAGTCACTAAAGTGACTGATGGTTAAGGGGGGGGGTGATGTAACGGGGTGAATCGTTACATAACAATTTATAAGAAATTGTATAGAGAATATAACTATAAGAGTTATATTCTCAGAATATTGTCATAAGGACAAATATTCTGTAGCACTTACGAGTAGTTCCTAATTGGTTGATATAGGCCATTATATCAACCAACGAAGACGCGCCACGACAGACGCACGCAATGAGTGGTGAGCAGATATTTGATTTACACATTTATATTTAGACATAGTCAGATGACGATAAATAGTGATTTATTAACAGACATTAACTATTACAAATACAGTTCTACTTTTTACTTTAACCAAGTACTCGCTTCTTCTACCGTCTTCCTCTGCACGTACGAGTGTACGTGAAGTTTCGAGGCACCGCTTTATTCTGTCATCAGAATAAGTAGCTTGTACTGTCACCAGTACAAGCTTAAGGGTGCCCCGTTACAGGTGCGGTCGACGCAACCGGTCGCCGGTTTCTATTTCCCGTGAACTAATGCTTCTTTTCTTGGGTCTTCCCGCCTGACGGATGAACTTGCTGGTGGAGTGCCTTAGTTGTCGACCATACGGTGATCCTTGAGAATCAGCATAGCACCTGCGGTCGTTTGATAAGTCGTAAATCGGTAACACGAATCTGTTAGCACTGATAGCTCAAAGTTTTTGTTCCTAGCCTTGAGCGCCGCGATAAGATGAAGACCTGCAATCTGTAACCTCAGCCAAATCTCACACGAGAAAATCATTGAGATGTCATTGACTTCTGACTTCTTCACTAGTTGAGCGACACGGCCGAAAAAACGAAACATGTTCGTCACTGCCTACTGAGGTGTCCTCTTCGGCTTGCTTCAGCTGGTCTGGAATTTGGCCTCAGCTCGAGGAGCGACCGCTCGTCCTACTTTTAATTACAGTTATAAGTGCTGATTGCAAGCGTACACATCGTATGTAAGTATAGTAGCGTAGCTCTTGAAGCACTCGAAGGGTAGCATCTTTCAGGGTTTCAACTTCAAGCTCGTTTACGGCTGTGTGATCAACAAGAAAGTATCTAGATTTTAATTACATCTTGTCACACGTTCTGCAAAAACTTTAAAACCTGTCACCTTTTGCAATCATCCCTATATTTCTTCTCGTGATGAAATAGAGCCATATCTTTTTCCGCTTTAATCAAATCTAATTTGCGATCGTATTCGATCTCAAACTCATTATCAGTTACAAAAAAGATTGCCCGTTCAAGAGCATCCGGTAAGGCAGTTTCGACTGTCGTGAAGTAGTTTACCGCACCCCAAACGAGAGTTGTATCACATCCTGACGCACCGCTTTTTGTCACATCCAGTCCCTCTGATTCCTCGCCGTCTCCCCCTCTCCTAGAATACTATTACTCATCACCCGTAATCTCCCATGCGGGAGCCCCAGCGATTCCCGCTCGGCACGCGCGTGGCCAACCCCGTGGAAGGCCGCACGGGCGCAATCGCAGCATTCGACACGACCACAGGGCTCTACACGCTCGCGTACAATGACGACCACCGAGACGTGCTCACCGCCAATCAGACCGAGGCGTTTGTTATCCGGACAGCAAGGGTGCCAGAGCCGGTACAGGATTTTGTCACTTTGGAATCAGATCCGAATCAGTTGCTCGGAATCACCGTAACCAGAACTTCCACCAGCTACGAGGGCAAGCGGTTCACGAGCTCCGGTCAAGTGACGCAGTACTTTCCGGATATGAAGCGCTTTCGCGTGCTGTTTGCCGACGGACTGTACGCGGATCTGACGCGCGACGAGGTAAAGCAGTACGCGGAGGCGGAATCAGACTCAGATCTGAGTCGACTGCCAGCACCCGAGTCGGACGTGACGGTCGTGGAGTCCAAATCGAGCCACGAGCGCCAGGATCAGGAGGAACTTTGTCACGACGACGATCACGGGAAGGAACGACCGCTCAATGCGCAGAAGTTTGAGAGTCGCAAAGTCGCGTACGCTGTGTGTCGAGAGGTGGTGCGCATTATTCTGAGCCAGAAGAAAATGGGCAAGTTCTGCTCGGACAAGCAGAAGGTCGTGGTCAATAATAAGGATTTGCAGGTACGAGGCGCTGAGTCGGGGTTTTGTTCGCTCTTTTGTGTGGTTGGAGTCGAGAATATCCACTAATGAGCTCATTGTGGTCCCTGACGGCAGTCCAAGCGAGCGCTGGCGGCGTTTGTAGAAGCAGACGGACTGAGTGCACTCGAGAAGATGCTGGGTGTCTGGATCCGCGTTGAGAAGACGCAGTCGGCTGCTTTGCTGATCTTGAAGGTACGTTAGGGCTATGGACGAGGAAGACTGAGGTTGCAGGTTGTTGTTTGTAGGCGGGTTCCGAGCTGAGAACGTGGCTGCGTAGGTTTTGGCAATGCTGCCTGGAGTGAAGGAAGAGCATTTGCGGAAGACGAATATTGCACGCACATTGCGTGGTATCGAGAAGCTTAGCCAGACGAGGTATATTGACATGATGTTTGGCGATCTCGCGCATTGGATCATTCAGAAGTGGTCGAGAACGGCGATGAATCGGTCTTTTACGCGCTCGGCTCGGGACTTGCTCCTAGCGCAACAAGCTCAAATCAGACGGGCGGGAACGGATGGCAAGGTGCATTTGACAGCCCACTCAGCTGTAAAATTGACTCCACGACAAAAAGAGACGGCACGGTTGGAAGCTTTGCGAACAGGAGCAGACAAGAGTGCAGAGTCTGAACAAGATCCGAGCGAAGAAGTTGTGGTGTACTTGCCGCAGTTTAATTCGCTAGGCTCGGTGGACATGCGTCGCCCTGTCCGCCAAACCCAAGTGCTTGAGTCGCTGGCAGCAAAGCTAAATCGTGACTATGAAGACTCGGTGCGGAAGCATCAGGAAGATGACGCGGAAGGAGACAATGACGGCGTGGCTATGGGGCGCGTCACATTCGGGAAGCCTCGGTTGATGCATTTTAGCCAGCACACTCCCGTAGTCGACCTGTTTTGTACTGCCCGCAGTAAAATGCTTGGGAAGGACGCAAGGAAAAGCAATGGTGCCGGGGAAACTACAGGTTGTGGCACCTTTATATCGAGGTCTTCGCCAAAGCCCAACAAGACGCAAGCGCCAAAGAAGACTATTTTGAAAGTGAGAGATGATGTGATCATACCGGCGTCGCAGATTATTTGGTAGCCTGGAAAGACACGGGGAGTAATGTCGTGAAACGGATCAATACATGAGTGCATGGTAGCAGCCTCTGGACTCTGGAGGCTAAATGTAAGTGCTTGATTTCTGCAATAGCTTGGTGAACTGGATGCACGAATTGCAAACGCTGTTGTTTCTAATGTCTACTGCACAAAGTCGTAGAAGTAGCCACTAATCCCGTAGCGAATGTAAAAAGCTAGACCACAGCACAGGGCCTGAAACGCGAGCAGTGCCACAACGAGATGGTTCTCCTTCATGGGTCCAAACACGACAAGGAAGAGATTGATGATCGTGTAGTTGGATCGCGTGGAGTCGGGCGTAATGGTAGACGGCTCCAATAGACCAGTCTTGGCGTTAAACTTGGGCAATCGGTGCCGCGGACAAGGCACGATCTTGAACAGCTGCGGGATCGAGTACAGGAAGTTGAGGACCTGTGGCAAGAAGAAGAGCAAGAGGGTCTTACTGAAGTGACCCAAAATGCCACACACCGCAAAGGTGATACCAGCGTAGTAGCAGAACGTGTCCCCAACGAAGACGCGCGACGGGTACCAGTTGTGCTTCAATAGACCGAGCGTTGTCGCCAGGTATGGGACCATGAACATGAGTGAGAGGTAGTGGAAGTTCTCGTTGTCGTGACCCAGCAAGATCTGATACACATTCTGCACGACAACAGCAGCGCCAATCACAAAAGACTGGCCGGCTTCCAGACCATTCACACCAGCGTAGATGTTGATCGCGTTCGTGCAGAAGACCGCCATCATGCCCATGTAAAGGTAATAGAATAGACCAAGCTCGGCAAGTTCTCCTCCTTCACTCAGCGTAATCACCGGAGTCAGCACCGAGTGCAACATCGTGTCTTGCTCAAACAAGAACCGCACGGGTTTGGGCAGCACGACAGCAGTGAGTCCAGGGTAATTAATCAGCAGCGGCAGTGACGCGAGTGGCGGGAAGAGCAATTTGTGGCGCCAACGGAGATCCGCGAGATCGTCAGCGAAGCCCAGTAAGATCATGGACAGGATGCTGACGATCCCCCACGCCATCATGCGCTTCACATCGGGGTCGTCCACCACAGTGAAGAGCGTCACGATCAACGATGCCACGTAGACGAGGCCTGACACGATGCCTAGAGCTTCAGGGCTTTGCTCGACAAGGAACAGCATACAGGTGGCCATCAGTCTTTTGCATTGACGACGACGTGGATTTCAAGAATCAGATATCTCACTCACATCGGGATATCTCCTGCTGGCGTCCCTCGCTTGCACAGATCTTTGCCCGATAACTTCGCAGGCAGGTGGCGACTGACAATGGGAATCAGGAACACGACGGACAAGTAACTTACGATTGCGATGAGCGAGAGACGCAATAGGTACACTCGGAGCGCGCTCGGGAGCTCATTTAGCGTCGACGACATGGTCGTCAAAACTTCGTTTATCTGTTGGATAAAATGCTCCACGTGGCATAAGAACCTATGCAAGCGCATGAGCAGGCTATGGACGCTGTATCGTGTGCAAATACCGTTTAGCGAAATGTAAAGCCTGTTTTACAAAGTCAGGCAATCGCCCTATTTCCCGTAATAAACGACCGTGCACGTGGATAAAATATATCCAACTCTATTTAAACGACAGTCGAGCGACCGTCAATTGCGACTCCGCTGACAATAATGGAAAATCGCACTTCAAGGTGCTGGACAAGTTAAGCACTAAGGAGGCAAACCTTGATGAGATGACGAACTGGTGCTTGCCATTGGTGGTGACGACGGTACAGATTGTCGAAAATGATTGACCGGCGACGTCGGATAGGGTCTGGACATGGAAGGCATCGTATCGCTCGAGCGGATCCGCAACTGCGTTGTCTCGCCGGTTTCCACAGTCACGCTGCCATCCTCTAGAAGCTGGACGTCGTTGGACACGATGGTCTGGAGCAAAAACTTGCCCTGAACCTCGTTGAACTCGAGCACGACCAACTCGCCATTGTGGAAGTTCTCGAGCAGCTCAAACTCGCTGATGCGGTACTTGAAGTAGCGCGTGAGGATCACGCGGATGGCCACGCCGTGTGTCACGAGCACGTAATTCTCCTCCGAAGACTTTTCAAACAGGCGGTAGAGCGACTCGAGGAACGACGACACGCGGTCGTACACATCAGCGGGCGACTCGCCGCTTGGAAATCGGTAGAAAAATGACCCAAACCGTCGTCGCTGCGCCTTGCACTCTCGAATCTTCAAAGGATCCTGGAAATTGCCAAAGTCCTGCTCTCGAATACGTGGCTCCTCGGTCCACGGAATCGCTTTTCCTTGAAAGCCCCACGCCTTGAGAACACCGCCAAATGTCTCAATCGTGCGCACGTAAGGCGACACAATAAACCTCTAGCAGTGACAGTATCAAGTGATTGTTAGCACTACAGAAAGAGACAAAGAAAAAGGCCCAAGTAGTAGCAGCAAGTAGTATTGGAACCGAATTGGAACCCCTATCGGGTACGGACACAGACGGTCGTACGCACCATCGTCTCGTTTCCGACGATTTTCTTGATGGACTTGCCAGCCGCCACTGCCTGTTCGTACCCGAGCGCCGTCAAGTGCATGGCATTGTCTGGTACGTGTTCGTACAGAGACGGGTCAATATTGCCCTCGGACTCGCCATGGCGCACTAGAATGAGACGCTTTGGGAAGTCCTTCCTCTTCCTCTTCTTCTTCTTCTTCTTCTTTTTGTGGCCGAGCAGACGTGTGAAGCGCCCCACGATCCCTCTGGAGGAGCTTTTTCTAGTTCTACTTGCACTTAATAGAAGGCCAAGGGCCGTCCCTGTGAGCGCCGCGGAGACGACGCACGCTATCACTGTCGACGTCGAGTACACCATGTACCCCAAGGCGGTACGGATCTTGATGTGAGCTGTTCGTGGCAAAATAGATACTGACACTATTGAGCGGTCGGTCAGTTTCGTGAGGTCGTAATTCGCGCGTTTAAGGCTCGTTATAGACGACGCTTCAAACTTTTTGGACGTGTATACCGACAGGCCCACTGGTGATACATGTGTGCACTACCAAGAGTGCAAGCAGCGTATACCGTCGCTGCCCCTGCATACTGTTGAGAGCTGAGATGGCGCCATAAGTCCTAGAACGCATACAAATCACGTGTGTAACAGTCTGTTGAGTCACACATGGACGATCGCCAGTTCGATGGCGATGTTACAACACGTTGTGCGATCACAGGCTAGTAAGTTCAAAGCATGAGTACAGCGTCGTTACGCTCGACTACGTCTACCACGAAAGCTGAAAATCAACTCTTGTTATTGGATCCTAAGCTGAACGAAGTGTGCTCAAGCGTAGTGCCTTTAGTTGCAGCAATGTGCCTCATTCTCCGAGCACGTCCACATATTGAACAGCCGAATATGTTTCTGATGCCTTTAAGCTGTTTTACGCCCCACTTGCAGATCATTCGCAACATGCGGGGTGGTATCAATCCATCCCAACAATCCTAAAAACTGACAGCCTGTTGTAGATGACAACTAGACGTCTCGGTATGATATGAGCTTTACCCTCGCGTCGTCCAGAGCATGTACATCGATCAGCAGATGTCAATGCAACCTTTGAGTTTGACTATGGTGTGGCCATCGTGACCACAGCACTTGGTCTACCACGAGCGAAAAGTCCACGGATTCCGTTACTTTCTGCAATTTTTCAGCCTGCAAAAAACCAGCACCCGTTCCATCAATGGGTCTGCATGTTTTAGTAATCAGCAATCCAAGAACTCGTGCGTATGTTACTCGGCCTTGAGCATTGATTCCACCCGTGTCCCAGTTTGATCTGTACTACACTTGAGCAGCAGCGCATCTACCTAAATCTGAGTTTCTCGCTCTACTCTCACTCCTAACATCAGCGCTCTCGCATTGTAACGTCTCTTCTTACTAGAACAAAGTGCTGCTACAATCTTCGTTTTTTGGTCATTGGTTGTGCTACGCTGCTGAATTGAACGGAAAGTGCAATCCCATGTCTACAGTGACATTTTGGTGTAGAGCACTGGTCATCATAGTGGCATTGTAGGTGTCTACGACATTGCTTTTGGATTCATCGATCAAGGTGAATACCACACGCTTTGCAGTCCAAACTAGTGCGAGAAAGAAAATGCCACAAGTAATTTCCTGTTTACTTGTGGCATTTTCTTTCTCGCACTTGTTTCTAACCCGCGCGTAAGTAAGGCAAGCTACAAGGCAAAATTCGACGTAATAAGATCGTGCTCCTACCACGCTATCACCTACTACCCAGCTATATACCACGATAATCTATCGCTTATTTGTCAGGTTGCATGTCGACCTCACACTCAGCACTTTAATTAACTAACGATCATTCATTTACTGCAAGTGTCACGTCAGCTTTAGCTTTCATGTGCTCATCTCTCTCGTTGAGATGCAACGGGCAATATAAATCGCTATCGACAGGTGTTATCTGCTTGACATCGAGCACTTGGTCCAGGTCCCAATTCTCGATAATGCATAGGAAGTCTCAGCCCGTTACGTCTGTTCATGCGTTGAAGTTTAGGGTCGAGGTAATGGCAGCGCGACCTGATGGTGCCTGTAACGGGGCACCGGAGCAACACACTAGACAACTAGTGAGGAGCTACTATCACTGACAGCAGCTTTATTGGTGCCTCGCTGCCTCCGTCAACTCGGCAGAGGAAGGTAACACACCTAGGAACTGACTAGTTGCCGGTAAAAGTAAAACTGCATTGAATACAATTGACTGCTTCCGGAGAGATTTATGTGAGCGAAGTAGTAGAATGCACGTACATCCGGAGCTGGACGACGCACCGCGATTGGAGCTCATCCGCTCGATACAATAGATAACTCCATCACATCTTTCGAGCTGCGTGGAACGAGATTGCCCCATGTGACCGGTCAGCACCCACACAAAGGCATAACGGGCATCCTGAAGTTAGTATTTTTCAGTTTTGTCCCGTATACACGCCGGGCGAGTTCGATACCACAACTCTGCTCGTCGATTAGAGAAGAGGTAAGGAAGCGAGCCTTCAGATCAAAAAATATTCCATGGCTCTCAGAAGCGTGCTGTGCACAGAACCATGCTTCACACCCCAAATGTAGGCAACTGTCGGTCAGTCATGATGTAATCCTCACAAACTCCGTCCACGCTGACGTATCTTTTGGCCCGAGGAGAGAAAGCTGGCACGGCACGGGGGCGTCTGCTGCTACTGACACTTTGTCTCCGACTGTAGATTCACAATGTAGCGAACGCAAGTGCATAAGATGCTCCTTCAGCCATCTCTGCGATACGGACCCGAGACGATCCCAGAAGGTAAATCACAGCAATTTAAATCGTTCGAGGCGCGCACCATGTGCCGGATTAGAGCACAAAACACTGGCAAGATCCGTTGCGTCAGACAATTCGACTCACTTTCGGCCAATTGACTTCAGGCTGGAACGCTCCTCACACCACAAGCTTTCTGTACCCCGAAATTTACATCGTGCTGAAGCAAGGGCTCTCTGCTGGTCCACGAATCTGACGTTTCCCAATAAATGCGCACTGTCATTTGCCGTATAGCGATGACGATTCGACTTTCACATTCACCACGTGCCAATTTTGGTAATCTAATCTGATGTCCAAGTGCCCTCAGGCCAACATCTTTGTGCGTATCGTGATAGGTAACAAAACGCTAGTCTCCGTTCCTTTACACAAAACCATTCGATTCTATCCTTTCCCTCTCTCCAACTGACGTTACAGACCCCTCCGACGTGCGGATAACAGGGCTCGTAATGTCAGCGTTTCGGCCTGGAGGACCGAAAACCTCGTGATAGTTGACTGCTGAACCACTTGTGCGGAAAAAGAACTCCAACATGTTGCTCTTGAGTCCTCGGTCAAATGGATTCGACATCGTCACATCCGCAGTTGGCTTACTATCCTCGCTATATTGCGATGCATTGGCCGCTTCCTTCGTCATATATGCATACCGCCGCCAGTTTACCCGCTCGTTAATGGTGATGTTCTTCTCAATGTTGTTCAGTTGCTGAACCGTCATCATTGCAAGAGCCGCGAACGACATAAGAGACCACAGCAACACGATAATGAACATCAAGTGCTTGCTAACGAGCGACGGAATCTCCTCCCAGATGTCCATAGCGGATAGGTTCTCACGTCTGGCACTTTTGTCAGCCCCCTCTTGCTCGGCGTGGAGATCATGCGTTTGATCGGAGAGAACCAGGATCGCTAGCACCGCGTAGATCCCCAACATGATGCAATGCACGAGCAAAAATGCAATAAACCACCGGTGATTATCGTACCCAACGCACCGGTTGATCCAGGCGCAGTGGTGATCATGCCGGGCAATGCAAATGCCGCATTGAGCACAGTGCTTTGATCGAATCGGCTTTGCCACAAGGCACGTGCGGCAAAACTTATCCATATCGGGAGACTCGGCTTGCAATGCCAAGTCCAACATTGCTTGCACGTCGTGCTCGTACGTAGCAATTCTACCTGGGTCTATCGGGTACACAAATGCCAGCTTTGCCCAAACCACAAGAAACACCACTTCCAGTGCTCCAGTGATGCTTAGAAATGGTAGATGACTATGCATAAAGTCCTCGTAAGTCGGGTCGACCCACACAACGATATACATCAGCGTGAACAAACTGACCCAAGCCATCCAGATACCCATGGCCGACTCGGGTTGTGCTCGCGTCAGCATACGAAGCCCTGCTTTCATCTCGTCCTTCGCGCTCTTCGCAGATATTACATTTGTTGGACCATCTTCGATTTGCTTTAGCGATACATTCATGGCCACGATGATGTTGCGCTTAGACGGATGCGTGTCAGCAGTAGATGCAGCGCCATGACCATGCCCACCGTGAGAGTGCCCTCCATGACTGTGACCCTTCTGGTGAAACGCAGACAACGACGCCCACGAACCAATGAAAATCAACGGTATCGCGAGCCACCACACGAGCCAATAACTCGTCGCCAGAACCACAAACAATAGTGCTCCATGCGAAGCTGCCACGATTCCCCGCGTCTTTCGCATGTATGTAGGTGGATCGACACTGCTCGTCTTGCCCGACAACATATCTTCTAACCAGACCGCATTGCGTTGCTTGGCCAGATCGAGGCACTTCTTGTCTTCCGTATCGACTTCATCGGTATCAAAACCTCGATTCAGCAAGTACTGCACGATAGGTTTGTACTCACTCATACAGGCATAGTGCAACACGTTTCGGCGCTGCAACGAGTACCCACCAAGCAGCGTCGTCATATTTTCTTTCTGTCGCCCGTCTTTCACAGACGACCGATGTTTTCGTTCTCGTTGCTCCGTTTCCAACAACAAATGCAGCACCCAGAGATGCCCTTGGGCAGCAGCGTGATGGGCGGCAGTATTCCCCCGCACGTCTTGAGCCAGCATATCAACGCATCTCGACTGCAGCAGCGTGTCTACAATCTGCAGATTTCCAGCATGAGCTGCTCTTCTATCAGCAGTAAAGATCACAAACCACAATAGCACAAAAACATGTCAACGAACAGCTCCATCAATATACAAGCGACAAAGCACACTAACCAATCAAAATACAGCGCTTCAATCGCTGACTGTATACGTACATAAGCGGCGTCTCTCCTGCGTAGTTCCTTCCATTCACGAGCGTTTCTTCACGACCACTGGCCGCCATCTGTTGCATCAAAAAGTGCATCGTGTCGCTCGCGTCGTGGCCGCTTGCTGCTGCGTAGTGCACGAGGGAATTCCCGCCCTTGTCGTCCTTGACCGACAGTAAATCGACCGGATGTGGCTGCACAGCCATCGCCATTCCCCAGAGCAGCACCACAAGCGGGAAATCGCCATTCGCAGCGGCATCAAACGCCGTTTGGCCGTCGTAGGATAAGTCGTCGTCCATGGAAAAGAAGTGGGTAACTGATGTACCGTACGTAACTCTCGACGACAGCACGTAGTCACTATCGGTCTTTCCCTTTTCCCTCGTTTTACTGCCACAACGCCCACTGATTGAACGAGGGATGCACATGTCGCAGAGCTTTTTGATTGAGACCTTCAGGTTTTGTAGCCACTTTCGTGTCACTCGCTACGCGCGACTTGGTTGACCTACTCGCCCCTCTCGCTCTGGGTCGTCACTTTGACATCTGCCATGGCAGAGCTGACACAGCGCAAAGTCGGGCCATTGCCCTCGCTCGCCCTTTCTACAGAGAGCATGAAAGGTGTGCGCGTGACGGAATTTGACTCGCGCCCCGTCTGCGCCAACGAGACCCCTAGACACTACGTGCAGCATGGTGACGCGCTCGTGTCGAGTGACGGTCGCTCTGCGACCAGTGGCGTCACGATTGGCGGACTAAGTCGCGAGCTTCAGGAAATGTTTTTACCGGCGGGGTATCCGGATAGCGTCAGTGAAGATTACGTCAGCTTCCAGCTCTGGGACACGATCCAAGCCATGTGTAGCTACTTACGGGGGGTTTTGGCTACGCAATCGGTTTTGCAGAGTGTAGGGGTAGGGAACGACACTGCCACGCCGCTTGCTGCTGCACTGCAGTGGGTTTTGCGGGACGGGTCGGGCATGATTGGCGGGTTGACGTTTGCGTACTTAGTCGGACCTAAGTTCGATCTCAATGTCAAGCGCTGGCGGCTTTTCGCTGACGTCGTGAATGACGTGGGACTCACGTTGGACATGGTTGCGCCGTTGGTCCCCACTTTAGTGACCGAAGTCCTCTGCCTCTCGAGTATCTTCAAGACCATGTGCGGCGTGGCTGTAGGCGCGACGAGGTCGTCCCTCATGACGCACTTTGCCAAGCGAGACAACATGGCAGACTGTGCGGCCAAAGAAGGGTCGCAAGAGACGGCCGTGAAGCTCTGTGGACTCATTGTCGGCATGTACTTTGCCAATGCCGTGAACGAGTCCCAGGTTGCAGTCTGGGTGGCCTTTCTCGTGCTCACGCTCGTGCACGTGTATGCGAATTACAATGCCGTGTCCTGTCTCTGTATTCCAACCGTGAATATCTTGCGAGGGTCGATCTTGGTCCAGCGGTTCTTGAAGTCAGGGACCTGTTCCAATGGCATGGACAATGCTGCAGACCAGGTACGACAGGAGAGCACTTTTGGATCATGATGTGGCTACAGATGCGATGAATTGCCACATGTTGTTGTCTCTTGTCTTTTGTGGGCTATTGTGCTGCAACTGCTAACATTTCCACGTCTCTTTGTGTTCGTTTGTCGCCTGTTTTATACCATACGAAGTACTCCATTCGCAGTGTGAACCAAGAAGAACCGGTTTTTAGCAACCCTTCGCTACCAGTGACGTCGCAATTGACGATGGGTTCGCAGCTCCACGAGGCTGTTTTGACCTCTCAAGATCTTGACAAACTGCTGCAAATCTACACGTACGATGATGAGACCGAAGCTTGATTTTTGCATGTGTTTTTCCCACAGCTACTCATTTTACTGGTGGCGTTTGCATGCTACACGTTTGCAGGGAAGAAAAGTTCTTGTTGACGGTGGTAGAAACCCATGTACACGTCATGTTTCAAGCAGATGCTAATCCCAACGACGAGCTGCGCGCCTTCTTTCAAGCTGTTCTGGTACTCCAGGCTCTGACGTTGGCCCCGTCGTCACCCCCTTCGTCACGAGGTGGCAAGAAGGGGCATCTCTATCTGCTCGAATCCACTCATCATCAAATGATGACTGACTTTCCACTCTTCCTACAAGTGCTGGAGAATCACGGTTGGCGCACCCACATGTACTTGCTCAATACGACCCCGTGGCGCATCAAGATCGGTGAACGGACCTGAGCAAGTGCCACTACCTGCAGCAACAAAGTATCTGATGCAAGTAACAGGTGACGACAAATTAAGGAGCACGATTTGTCTGTGGACGACTGGCACGTCCTATCGCAACCGCCGAAGGCTATACTGCATGGTCAGCAAATCAGTAAGTTGGACAATAGATCTGCTGTAACAAGGATGTTGTATCTCTGCAAGTAAAAAATGTGCTCGTTGACACAGCTGTATGCGTGCAACGTGGAAACTGGGAATAACTTTGCATGAAGCGTGGAAGAAAGTCCTGCTGTACATGTACGATCGGAAAGTTAAATTTTGAGATTCATTACCTGCGGGTCCGCCACGCTGCCATTATGGCTTTATGGATGATTACACACAACTGAGCCAAATTGACTTTTGTCGAGTAACGACTTCACTGCTGTCATACGCACACGCGTCAACTTCGTACTTTTATTGACTAAGATGACACTAAAGTGCATAGTTTTGTAGCAATTGGAGCCCAACACTGGGCCTGGTGGACAAAAGCGTACCAACACGAATGAAAAACGCCATCAAGTCCATTCACACTTTCAAAACTTTGCGATAAATAATAGTTCCTACAAACCTAGATTTCTTCCTCACCAACCGGCACGTGTTCATCCACATCACCGCCGCCGATCATGGCCACCAGAGCTGCGATTGCTAGCCGTCAAACTGCTGAAGCTGCCAATGCTCTTGAGCTGCTGCGACGTAAAAGAATTCGAAAGAGACTTGGGCGTTGTCCCAAATCGTGAGGCACTACGGCTGCTCGTATTAGAGTCGACCTCGTGCTCACTGGAATGGCGCTCGAGCTGGTGCACGACTCCTCTCGCGTGCACTTGGGCTTCCTCCTGCGCTGCTTCTTTTTCCTTCTCGTAAGCCACAAACAAATCCGTCGTGTAGAAGTTGCTTACAAATGCATCGAAATCGTGTGAAGACGAAAACCACGACTTGATTTCCTGCCGCTTCGAGTGACCACTGCTGCTAAGACTCTTCTTCTTCTTCTTGCTGCCAGTTGTCTTACGCTCTCTCTCCGCACACAACGTTGACAACTTGTCGTAAAATTCGCGCAAACCGCTCACAAATGTTGCAGCACATTCGGCATCGTAATGTTTTCGCTTGTGAAGGCCATTCGGATCCGACGACCGCACTCGTGACTGGAGCAATAGGTAGTTACTGTCCGCTTCGGATACGGCACTCGCTGAGCCGGGCGTTATCATCCAACTAGACCCAGAATAGCTTGTACTAAGCGCGTCATCAAAACTTCCCAACGTGTCATCCATTGGAAGATACGCCCTTGCAGGTGACCGCATGGACGATACACCCGATGCAGAAGCTGGTGTTGTCGGCCCACGACTTGACTCAAGGTGCTGCGAAGAGTGTCGGCGACTCATCTTGACGAGTATTCGATGGCGCTGTCTCGTGACCTTCTCGATCCGCTCTAAAAACTGTCTTCGCCATTTCTTAGGCAGTGGTACAGCATTTCGGAGTGTCTTGTCGGCTGCGAGCGAGTCCACATCCTCCAGATCAACTACTACAACGCAGGACGAAAGAAGACGAGGATCGTTGCCGGACTTCTTGGAAAAGGCCAAACAGCTCTGCCACGTCTCAGCCGTAGCGCCGAGTAAAAACGGAGGCTCGTCTTCCATTGGTTCTACCGCAGCACCGGGCGTCATATTGATTGTCCCGCTACTACTTTGGCTATCGCTGCTTCCTCGCGACGAGAAGTACGAGCTGCCACTTCCGCTGCCCCACGCCCGCCAATCATGCGAGAGTCGAGAGAATGAATGGCGACCTTTTGGTCGAGCCGCAAGCTTCATTTGCGCATGCTGACTAGCAGCATCGTAAAGAAATCTCCAGGACGTGACAGGTACAAAAGGCAAGAACGTGTGCTGCCACTGGAACGGCTCTAGTAGCTTCAGCAAACTCGTAGTCACCTCCTGAATCTGCGGATACGAAGTACCCACCACCACAACAGAACTCTCTAACAACAGCACCCCTAGTAGCTTTAACAATAGTTTTGCACCAAGCAATCGCATTGTGCGCAGGACTCCAGTACCAATTGCAGCTTCCTCAGCCTCCATCATGTCGTACTCAGACACATACCAAGCCGGGCGAGGGATCTCGTGACGCCATGATCTTGTATCGCCCTTCTGCACATTAAATACTTTATACTGAAGCTTCCCATGCATGCCAAAATGTGCCCGCGCTTCCGGAGCGTAATCGTATCCGATTGAAAGCACATGCTGACCATCTTGAATCAACGCGTGGCAATTCATGCGTGAAACGTCAAAATCCAGCATCCCGTTAGGGTTCCTAGTGTTTATATCTGATACAACTCGAGTCCCCCCAGGTGTAGCAACCGGAACTGTAGACGTGTTGTCTCCTCCATAGTAAAGCACAGCAATTTGCTGAGGATCAAAGGCGTCCAATAACGTCCGGAGGTAACGCAAGTTCCGCGACCGAAAATCAGACGTCCCAAATTTTCCTCCTGCATGCTTAGACTTCGCATCCCGCCACAGATTGAATATCCACCATAGTTTCTCGGACTGCACTTCATCAAAATCACATAGACCAATGGCACCGTTCGAGCTGCTGCCTTCGTCGAAACCAAAGCGATTGCTACGCTCCAATACAAAGTCTCCTCCGGATGGTAGGGCCTTCAGATCCCCGAGATCGACAAACTTCACAGATGACATACGCTTCATCGCATTATCATCGCTCTCCCCCAATTCTGCGAAACTTCCCACCTCATGAGGAAACCCATCGGCCTTCCTCGAAATCGCCGAACTCGCACTTGGAGACAGCAATTGGATTACTTCTGGCTGTGGAGCCGAACGAGACCGCTCTCGAGTGTATTGTCGCGGCTTACATTCGCCGCTCTTTTTTACTCCTGCATGACCACAAGTCACAATCCCCGGTTTCGCTACAGCTGAAGTCTGATGCGGTGGGAAGTTTGACCGTTCGCTCAACGAGGCCAAGCCCGTTCGAGGTGTCGCCGAGCTTTTCAAACCACCATGTCCAGCACACGATCCAGCGCCAAGCTGATACGGTGACGAGGAGGTTGACGCCAGCAACTCCGATATAGATGACATTGACTGGTTCTTCTTGTGACCAGTTCGCTTTCCCCCTGCTACCCCAGTACTAATTGGAGATGTCGTAGATACCTGCTTTCCTCTCCTACTCATTTGTGGTGACGGCAAAGGGATCGCAGCAGAAAACGACGACGATCTTGAGTTGCTGCTGCTTACACTGGATACAGAAATGCTAGAAACGGATGGTCCGGCTACAGACACTACTGTCGGATTCGATATTCCAGTTCGAGGTAGTCGCTTGTGAGACCTTTGCATTGCTCGAAACGTTTGTAGCTGGTTCACAATACTACTCAGACACATTCGAGCACTCAATAGTTCGTCAAGGTGATCGTGCAATATTTCTTGCACGTAGTCGGGTACGCGTTCAAACTGCTGAATTTGACAGGCTGTGAAGATCAGTTGCAGAGTCATCGCTTCTAGCTTCACAATGAATCCTTCGCTAAAATTGAGAATTGGCACCACACAAAATCGTCCCCTCTGTGGTCCTCGGGCGTACGGCATCGTAAAATTGCTTCCAAACCTAGATGACTGCAACGCGTTTGCCTCTGCAACATCATGAAATGCTACGCGTCGGAAAAATACACCCTTCATTATGCAAACAGCCTCCTCCCAAAATGCTGTCGCTTCTTTCAAGTGTTTCTCGCGTTTATATGCGGCAATGCGCTCCAGCCACACCCAAACTTCACCACAAAAAATCAGCGTCTGGACGGAACACGCGGGACTAGCTACTTGTTCTGCTAAATCCAATGCTGGCCGAAGCAGTTTTTGCGCTTCCAACAACGTCTTTCGAGTCTTTTCAATCGTATCATCACTATTGAGATCATCCAGCTCAAGCACAAAGGATCCTTTTCGGTACCTCTGACGGTGCAAATGCGTCTTCAGCATCTCATCGCTCTGGTTACTGCCCAAAGCGAAGAATGATTGCTGGATTGGAGCTAGCATAAAGGCGACAATCTCTAGCAACACTTTGAGTTGATATAGACTGTCTTCCAAAAGACGGTAAAGATCATAGGCTGTCCAGAACGCATTTTGCGCCTGCTCTTCGGCTTGTCCACTATCTTGAACGCATGTCCCATACTGGACCATTCGCTCATGCAGGCGCTGTTTCTCGTCCGTGCTCAGGCCATATAACGAAACGCCCAGGGGCTTGAGCATCTCGTCAACCTGCGCTGCTGATACAACGCTTCCAACAAATGTCACACCTATCGAACGCCGCCGCCGAGTTGAGTTTTCACCACTGTGGCGACGATCAAGCTCGCGATTCTGCTGTGCTCGACAGTAAGCGCGAAGCACTTTGCCGTCAAGAACATACAACTGGGCTTGCGTCCTAACATTGTCACGGTCATTCTTAACGTGAGCCAACGAAAGCCACGCAAACGCGTTACTAAAGTCGCCGAGTTTCAAGTGCATCTTCGCTCGACAAATGATGTAGCGAAGGGTGAAAGACATGTCGAAACAATAGCGAGCTTCGCTACCCATGCCACCAAGACTTTTACCGCCACCACTACTGCTGGTCCCAGGTCCAGTTCCACTGCTGCTTCCTGGTCCACTAACGCCTTTTATGTTCTCCCGAAGCCGATCGCAAAATGCCGCAGCCTCCCTTTCCATTAAGGAAAACATGTGACGACATGTGTCAAACAATCGCATCTTCAGTGCATCCTCTGCAAGCAACATGCGCAGCTGTGTGCGCTTTCCGCGAGGCAATCGCGTGCTATAATTCAAAAGATGTTCAAGAACGCGCAGCCCTTCCAAGCATCGTCCACTCGAGTGATAGACATCCCGAACGAGCAGATGCAAATTCACGTCATGGTTCAGCCAAGTATCCACCTCGCTTGCATTTCCTATACTACGCGACGAGAGGTGGAACGATCCAGAAAGAGAAGACGACACCGAGCTTGACGTGGCTGTCATCATCGTGCCGCTTCGACTAGAGTGCGCCTCGCTACCCGAATAACTTCCGCTACCAATGGGCGACAGAAAATGTGGCGGGAGCAGATTCGTGTTGTCTCGCAGAAAGTGACACGAAGCTGCCAGAAATTCTTCGGCCCGAGTAAAATTTCCCTCGCGAATCCAAAGCTTGGTCATCTCCTGGGTCAGATACACATAGACCGTGATGTTGCCTTGCTGTTGAGCAGCGCATGTCACTTTCTCGTGCAGTGGAAGCGCCCGCTTCACATCATCAGCCTCTAGCGTGAGCTTACACATAAGTCGATCAAGTTTTTCATACTCACGTCCCTGATTCAAGAATTTAAACAGAGCCCCCGCAGCTTCCAGACACAAGATGCCATAGCGGTATTTGTTGTTCTTTATCAAGATGTTGCCCAGACCTTCGAGCACCTCACGACCTAAGTCGGAGAGAAGCCCGTCGTTACTAAAATTGCTGAGGTACGATGCCGGTGTGATCTTCTCGCGGCTCTGCAACGATATCATGTTGGTAACGTTTGCCACATATTTTGTCGACCGCGACTTCAGCAGACGCAAAGCTTCATATGCAAGAGACTCAGCCACTTTCAATTTACCTTGAGATGCAATGGACGAAACGTGCATGCTAGCCAAAGCTAGAGCACACTTCGCTTTCACCAGAGGATACTCCATGGCTCCTATTCGCTCGTAGAAAAAACTTAGCGCCAAAATTCGAGTGCAAGGCGACACACTTAGCAGCTCAAACAGCTTTTTGGTAGCACTCCACCCACCAAGTCCTTTCGGCAAATCGCCACGTTCATACCCATTGTCGCTGTAATCGGGACTAGACGAAGACGAACTGCTACGACTGTCACGATTGTGAGGCACCAAACCTACGAGAGTGGGGTCTACCGTTGCCTCGTCGTCTCCAAACTCAAAAAGCTCTTCAAGAGCAGGCAGAAAAATTTCTGCCAAAGCACTCTTGCTTGCATACAAACTCTGGATGTCGCAAATAACAAGCGCCTGCATGCAAATGACATCCGATGGTAGCGCAAACGGTCTCGCATCCCCAGCTTGTGGTTCCTGATTCTCGCGAGACGACTCATGTCCTTCGTATCGACTGCTGCGACTTTCGGGACTCGTATTCAAGTGCTTAAATAGAGCACCATAGTAGAGGAGAACTTCAGTCACGATCTGCGGCGCAGAATCACCCACTACCGGTTCTGGAGACAAGAATGTAGGCAGTTGCTTACACATCTGCCACCTGTACTCGTACTCACCACTAGCGAAGCCTGCCAAGTGGTGACACACATACCGGAGTTCGATGAGCGCGATAACGTTTATATAGTGCGGGAAAGCTTCCGCACAATGCCCCAAAATGTCCTGAAACTGCTGGATCCAATAAATAGTAGTCTTGTTGCCTTGTGACGATGACGAAGTAGACAGCGTCGTAAGCGACAAGTGCGTTGCAAGCGGCAAAACAGGCTTGGGGCCATACAAACGCGCGGCCTCCTGTAAAATTTCAATACTGCATCCAACGACAAACGATAAGTCGTTCTCAGATAAACTCTGAGACCAGCTCTCGTCGGTCATAGTCGTAGTCGATATCTTTTCAAAATACATCCGCACGATCTCGAGGTTTTCCTTGTCCTCGCCAAAGTACCGGTGATGCGTGATCTGTCGATAAAACGTGTTTACAAACTCGCGACCAAACGGGAGCGAAACAAGTGCGTGGAATAATCGACTCTTCAACTGTCTCGGCGGTGGCAGCCGATTCCGCTCCGTGTCCATAAAATGTGATACCGTCGCGCAGTCCTGCGCCACCAGACTGGCTAGCCATTGCTCGTACTTGTTCTCGCTAAAGCTGGGAAAGCTAGTGCGATCTTGCTCCAGGTTACTAAAACTGCTCGAAGGTTTAGGATACCGTTCTATCCTGACCGCATACGCCGATGAGTTGGCCACCTCCATGAGCCGCAGTTTGTCCACAAGTGAATACTTTATTGCACTCGACGAAGATGCCGACGCTTTAGACGCAAAGCTGCCACGGATTCCATCCAAGCTTCCGTCCGCACTCGGTCCTGACTGACAGCAGTCACTGCGTCTCCTTTGAAAAATCCGCTCTTCCGACAACCTCCTCTGTCGTCGTCCTGCTGCATCCAAGCTAAACATTAAACGATTGTTTCCATCGCCATTATCATCATCGTCATCATCAAGCAATGTCTCTCCATCCAGCACTTTGTGCAAATTAGGGAGAAAGAAATTGCCATTCTCTGCTCTCCTCCTCGTCGGATCCATACTGTCTATCGATCCACGTGATCTTCCATCTGCGTGGTCCTCCTCAAAGCCAAACTCGACGTCCCAGTCTTCATCGCTGTCATCAGCAAGTTCGTGCTGGTCCGTCACCTGCGTCCGTCCGTCTCTCGACGTGCTGTCAAGAGACACGTGCGAGCTATGGAACCCTCTCGCGTCGTCATCTTCGACGCCGCTGCTGCCGCTGCTTGCGACCCCCACTTCACTGCTTCGTGGACCTCGTGCTCTTCCCGTGACACCATTAACACCATTAGAAGTGCTGCTACTACTGCTACTGTGGCACTTGGAAGACGTGTCCGACAACACGAGGTGGTCCGTCGTGCTACTGTCTGAGCGCCGCCAGCACGTCCGCGAACGATCTGCGGCCAGGAAGTCACTGCTCCAGTCCTCCACTTCATCTTCTGTCGACGCTGAGAGGCCGACAACCACTTGATCTTGAGCTGTTGACGGTCCCGCCGTCTGGAGATGGTGATGGGGATGAGGAGGATGGTGGCGGTGGTGGCTGTGGTGGGGATGCTTGTCCGAGTGGTGATGGTTAGCATTACTGTGACTTTTAGGATGGGCATTGAGGTGATTGAACGACGTGGCGACGTGACGCCGCGCGCTCTTATTAACGCTTTGCGACGACGAGGAGGAGACAGCGACATGGGGCGCGGCGGGTGGCACGGACTCGCAGCTGGACTGGCTCTTGTCTTGCTGGTGCAGCACGCGCTGCATGGAAGAGGACGAAATGGCGGTCTGCAGTCCTGCTGCGGCTGCTGTCTCTACTGTTGTTGTGGCGGGGTATCTCTCGCCGATGGGTTCAAAACGCTCTCGGTCTCTACGTAAATCGATGCGGTGTGCTGGTTAGAAAAGCATAAGGCTCAACCTCTCGCTCGCTCAACGCTCGTGTCCCCTCGGTGGGATCGCCCTCTCTCTCTCTCTTTGTCTCGGTCTCACGCGAACGTGGTGTGGATCTTAGCAAGCTGGCGGCCGAGAGAGCAAAGAGCCAATCAATCAGGCAGGCAGGCAGGCAGGCAGTAGAATCGATCGATCGATCGGTCGGTCGGTCAACCGCGTCCGTCACTGGCGTCTAGTGCGAGAGTGGCCGACCGGTTCTGTGCACTCAGTCGTCTTGCGTGAAATTTTCAGAGCCCTAACCGTTCTCAGGGCAACGGGTGCCCCATGCCTCGTACTTGCTCTGTAGAGTGTGATTTGCGAGATGAGAGATCGCGGTCGTCGCGGGTTTGTTTGTATACAGAACGCGCGCTTACCACTGACTATTTGACTGCTGCGGCTGCTCGTGTTACTATTACAGAGGGACGGGGTTACTTTGATCGACGCACGGGGACTAAAAGAAACAGGCAGAGAGGCAGACAGACAGGGCGGGAGCCGAGTGGACGAGCACTCCTCTCTCTTGTATACACTTCACTACCAGCCGCACTGAAAAAGGTGCAAACGCTCACTTTCGACTACTCGGCAGGGCGTGTAGATCCGGATATCGAGCCTTTTTTCACTTTATTCCTGTATACCTCTGCTATGGTCGCACGACGATTGATTCACTTCGAGATGCTCCCTAGGTGCATCAGGTAACGCTTTACACGGCTTCCGCCCGCGAAGCGCTTCTTCTTCTTCTTCTTCCAGTGCCACTCTCCCACATGTCGTTTAGTCTCCGTCAAACAAAGCACAGCCGCAAAGTGCCGAGTTTGGTTGAAGTTGCTTGTCGATGGATGAGACTTGGAGCGTCAGCGCGGGAATAATTTTTTGTCCACGCCCTTTTCTAGCCGATGGAAATATTTCGTCCGAAATTTGTAGCGACTGTAGCCATGCCGTTTCTCGCGCCCAGTTCGTCGATCTCTCAATTTTTGGCGTTGGACTAAACCCGCGACGATTGCTGTCGGGTTGATTTTCCACCAATCGTAATGCTCTGCAACACAGCACGAGGCAGTAAACACGAGAATGATGGTTCTTTCTACCCACGTGGGCACAGCAGGGAGTGTACCGTTCTGCTCCGGCTATGTCCGCCCCAAGTCGCCGCGTGGCAGGCAGTAGTAGTCAGTCAGTCGAGGAGCTCATTTCACAAGAATCGTCCTTCGAGTCGCAATGGAAGACTCGTCTGCAGCGTCACCGCTACCCCTCGTCAGCCTCGTGGTGCGCAACGTGTACACGCCGTCGCAGGCGCTGGCGCTGACTGTGGGCGTGCAGACACTCGTGGGCGAGCTTAAGCGCCGCCTCAGCGTCGAGTTTCCGTCCAGGCCGTCCGTTGCGAGTCAGAAACTCATTTTTGGAGGCAAAGTCTGCAGCGACGACGAGGCACTGGCGCACGTCCTGGTTCAGATGCAGAGTTGCCAGCAGAAGGAGCCGGACGATCACGAGCAGGTGGAGCCGGTGGTTTTCCATTTGTTGGTTCACGCGACGGGAAACGGCGAGAGGAACAAGCACGATGTGCAAGTGAAGGCGCCGGTGCCGGTGCCCGAGGAGCGACACGATGCGCAGGATTCGCCTCGACCCCGTACGCGTCGAGAGCCAGTGCCCGAGCCACTGAGCTTTAGTGTGCCGCCTGAAGTTACACTGAACGAGGCACCAGCTGCGTCGCCTCTGCCGCTGCACGAGCAGCAGAATGTGTTCCGACAGAGCATGCTTATGCAGCAGCAGATGCTCGTGCTACAGCAGATTCAGTACCTTCAGTGTCTGCAGCTACAGCAGCGGCACCAGCACGCGGTGAACAATGCGGCAGATGTGCAGCAGCCATTTGGAGCGTTCTTTGTTCCGCCGTATGGCAATTACTATGGCATGATGCGGCCGCCGATGGTTCCAGCACCAGTAGCGCAGGGATCTGCGACTGCTTCGGGTCCCGCGCATACACAGACACCTGCTGCTCCTGCTGCTGAAGCTGTTGCGGCCCCGCAAGAGCGCCTGATGCTTGTGGAGATGGTGCGCGAAGCCTATGCGCTGCTGGACTTTCGAATGGCGCTCAAAATGGCGTTCATGCTGTTCATCATTGGACAGGACACGCCCGTTGGTCGCGTTCTCTTGCTAATGCTGTTAGCATTCGTCTCGTACTTGCACATCACCGGTATTCTTGCCAAAGTCTACGAGATATACAATCGTCGACGCAGGAGAAACGGGGTCGCAGCACCGGACGAACAGGCCGTTCCCAACGCTCAAGGTGGGGTGGCGGCTGGTGCAGGTGCTGCTATTGCGAATCGATATGGAACACTGATGCGTGTGCTGCGCATTTCTGCAGAGCGTGGATTTGTTCATGACGTGAAGTATTTTATGGTGGGTTTGTTGCTGTCGCTGGTGCCAGCGTGGCACCCGCAGCCCAATCAGGGGGCGGCCCCTGTGGCTATGCCCGACGACGTACCTCTTCAGGAAATGTAAGCTTGTGATTTTTAGTGGGATGCTGTGACGCAAGAGTCACGAAGCATATGTGTAAAGTACTGAAAAGGGCAGCAATCATGTCATGGCCGGAAGAAGCGATGGGATTGCTGAAATGAACAATAGGCGGTGCAACGCTACTTTTGTTCTGGGTTGGTTTGGGATCGACCGTTGTGGTCGAAGAGCGTTTTTATACCACGAAGCATTATTGGCAAGGACACCGAGTTCCAATTGTTCGGTCGACCAAGTAACTACACGCACGGCAGGGTAGCATTACTCTGAAGACCGGCTGATGGAAGTCTCCGAATGACTAGCGTTCGTTTTCTTTGTGTCTCAACGCATAACTTGCCTTTTTATTAGATCTTACTCTGCTTTATTGCAACAAAAAAGGTTGTGCTGGTGATGTTGTGTTTCAATCGTTAGTCAGGGTTTTGCTGCACTGGACTGACTAGCACACGCAGTAAGCAAACGCTGAGGTCTTCAGCCTTACTCAGCTTTCAAGACGTAGCTCTTTACGGTTCTGCTCCGGCCGGTGTCCGTCATTTCAATTTATGCCGCATTTGCTCTGCAGGTGCATCAAGAACAGCAAAGACCATTCTTATGGGTTTTACGTTCAGCTTCGTCATTTGCAAGAGCTGGCAGACTCGCATCCTATTGTGGACAAAAAACCACAATGGTCAATAAACCACAGTGTCTCGTGCCAAACAAGCGGCTTATGTGGCAGCTCAGTGCTGTGAGAACTGTTGCTGACAGGTATGATTGCAGTTCTTGCGTAACAGCTGTCGTGTTTAGAACCTGTCACGAGCACGAACACATAAGACGCCACAAGTGTGTATTTAATTGTCAAATGTTGGCGCTGTCTGCACGAGGTATGATTCTGAACGAAGATACTCCGTCACCGATTATAGTCGTCATTGTGCCATAGCCTGATGAGCGAAGCCATAAGATGCAGCGCACGTACTGTGAAGCCAAACTTTACTCGACAGCTACCGCGTGTTGGCTTTTTTTCATGCTCGGTGTACATCATGCACGTCCGGCTCGATGCGATTTAGCACGTCCTCTATGCGTACCAGTGTCGCTCTCTATTTCAGTCACAGATTACCACCGCTCAAGAATAGGGAAATACAACCTGTCATTCGCCATTTCATGGATCTCGACGGCCTTTTGACTTTTACCTGTATGCAGGTAGAAACTGTGGTCAATTCGCTATCATCTGAGAATACGTACCAACAATCGCCTGTTTACTGGCGACGACAGAGACATTTGCAGTTCACGCAGCCCCTCGAAGTCGACCGCCGCATCAAAGCGATATCAGAATTGTCTTGAGCAGCGAACCACTCCATTCCCAACCTTGGGGATACTTGCTGCTCAGTTGTAAACTCTTTTTAGAGCTCGAAATGAGTGACAGAATAGCCATAAGCTGCTTATTGTACTAGCTGGAAAACAGGGCGTATGGGCCGTACTTCAACCAGAGAGGCCGCTACTGCATACGATTCACCAGTGCAATAATCCTTGGTCCGAAGGCGTGCCATAACGACTAACATACACTTCCCAGTATCGATGCAAAAGCACTGCCTTGATCCGCACGAGCCGCAGTTTAATGGATCGGCGGAATCTCATAATACCGAAAGAAATAGTCTACTTGATCAGTAGGTCAATTCCTATATTACTAGCGTAAGCAGATGAAGAAACGTCGACACTGTCGGTCATGACTGCCGACACAGATCCGCTTGGCTTGTTCAATCGAAGCGATGGGGCAAGAGAAGTTGTGAACGAGTTGTTTGCAGCATCAAGCGAGGCAAGATCCAATACATGATCCGCATCATCTTAGACTCGACATCCTGCACTCCTTCGTAAGACTTGCACAGCCGCCAACTCTAAAACGTTGTGACATCTCTAAATTCCAGGTGTTCGCTCTTGAGACTGTGCGTTTAGCTGCTGTGCTACTGATACCCACTTGTCCAGCAAAGCGAGTGCCTCACCAGTTCCAAGCTGGTTCTTGGCCATCTCGTAGCCACTCTTGATACTGTTCGCCAACCCGTATACGTAGAGTCCGGCACCAGCATTGTAAGCTATCGTGTTGCCCACGGGGTTGTCACTTGCTGCACCACCGCTGAGTACCTTGCGGAGGATAGCTGCATTCTCAGCCGCGTCACCTCCTTTTAGCTGCTCGAGCGTTACCACCGGAACGCCCACGTCTTCAGGATGCAACTTGTAGCGGAGCAACGGCTGTTCGGCACTGCTACGAACTTCCACGACGTCTGCAGGGCCCATTGAGTTAAGTTCGTCTAGACCCGCACAATGCACGACAAGTCCGTGCTCTACGCCTAGCGCCAGCAGCACATTTCCAAACACATCGAGCAGCTTCGGTGCATAGACGCCAATGACCACGCGCGTGCATCCCGCCGGGTTCAGCAGCGGACCTAGGATGTTAAAGACACTGCGGATCCCCATGGCCTTGCGCACTGGCGCCACAAAACGCATGGCCGGATGAAAGTGCGGCGCATACATGAACGAAATGTGCGCCTCTTCGAGACAGCGTCCCACTTGGTCAGGCTGGAGCATGGGCACGCCAAGCTCCTCCAGCACATCAGCAGATCCCGAGCGGCTCGATACGGAGCGGTTGCCGTGTTTTGCAACCAGAGCGCCACACGAAGCGGCCAGAATAGCAGCAGCTGTGCTCAGGTTGACAGTATTGGCGCCGTCTCCTCCCGTGCCGACGATATCGAGCGTCGGGCGTCCAGACTACAGCAACAGCAGCACGTCAAAAGTGTGTTCACCCTTGTGACAATCAGAACCCTCTCAAACGTGATAATCGTACCGGAATATCCACACGCACGGCCTCTTGACGCATGTGTTTGGCAAACGCCGCGACTTCCGTGGCGCTCTCGCCTTTAGCCGCCAGTAGCGCTAGCATGACGCCAGCAGCCACCAGGTTCTCCTCCACCTTGTCGGACGTGATCTGCTGGACGGCAAACGTCGCCTCAGCATCCGTCAGGTCTTCGTGACGCGTCAATTTGTTCAGCACGGAACTCAGCTCCATGGTCTGTAGGTGTAGGTGAAGCGCAGATTAGTTGCGACAACTAACGGATTGCATTAATCAGTGCTTGGGTCCTTACATTTCAGAGATTGTTCACACGTTGTTGTAAGTAAAGGGAATTGGTAGATTTACTCCTATTTCGGTTAAATCCACTCCCTATTTCATTGAGTAAACTTTTGATATCGAATTTTGGACAGTATATAGGGTGAATAAAGCTTGCTTTTACTCTAAATATTCCGCAGGCGGAATCACTAGCGTGACGGACCCCAGTGGCCGAGTGATAGACCGCTTAAACTGGGACCAAGAGATACCTGGATTAATACCCGGTGGGGGTTCAATTACAGGGCGCCGGAGATAGGCCGATTTAGTAGATGTAACGGGGTGAATTGTTACATAACAATTTTATAAGAAATTGTTCATAGAATATGACTATAAGAGTTATATTCTCAGAATATTGTCATAAGGACAAATACTTTGTAGCACTTACGAGTAGTTCCTAATTGGTTGATATAGGCCATTATATCAACCAACGAAGACGCGCCACGACAGACGCACACAATGAGTGGTGAGCAGATAGTTGATATGCACATTTGTATTTAGACATAGTTAGATGAAGATAAACAGTGATTTATTGCAGACATTAACTATTATAAATACAATTCTACATTTTATTAAAACCAAGTACTCGCTTCTTCTTACCGTATTCCTCTGCACCTACGAGTGTACGTGAAGTTACGAGGCACCGCCTTATTCTGTCATCAGAATAAGTAGCTTGTACTGTCACCAGTACAAGCTTCAGGGTGCCCCGTTACACCTGGTAGCACTTCGTAGTCCGTCCAAGGACCACGTCCACATCTAACATGAATACGTTGGATGATGAAGATGACCAAAGCTTTCACGCTACGCGTGACGGCTACTCCCATTTGAGCGATGTCGAATGGGATGCGGTTGAACGAATGGGTTCGACCATGGGCATCCATGCTGTTAGCGTCATGCTAGAGGCTCTCGATAGAGATGCCCAACATGCTACTATCGCCAAGTTCATTCAAAATGAACTTGACGCTGAACGCGAGAAAGTAGCCTTGCTTCACCAACAAGGTTCTCAACAAGCAGAGTTGTTGAGAGAACAAGGTGCTCAACAGTTTGAACTGTTGAGACAGCAGCAGGCTGCTGCTGGCGGGTCGATGCACTCGCGTCGACCCGAGACTTTGAAGATTGACATCTCCAAGTATAGGGGGGTCGAAGAAGACTCCCTCTTGAGATGGTTTGTCGAATTGGATGACGCCATAAGGGCGCGTCGCATCGACGACGGGGATATGCAAGTTGCATTTGCCCAGTCAAATCTGGCAGGACGTGCCAAGACTTGGGCTTTGGGACTCAAGTTGCACGACCCATATGCGTTTGGTTCGTCGAAAGTCTTCAAGTCGCGGCTCAGACAAACGTTTGAACCGTCTAGAGCTGAGTTCAGAGCTCGAACCGAACTCTTGAAGCTCAAACAGGATAAGCGTGATGTGCACGCTTACGCACACCATATACGACATCTCACGAGTTGTATAAGTTCCAACCCGGTTGATGAACACACGTTGGTTTCAGTGTTCATGCAGGGTCTTGCGGATGGTCCCGTCAAGACTCACCTGTTCCGGCTTGAACTAGATTCACTAGAACAAGCCATTTCCATTGCGGAACAGGAAGACTTCAGTCTGAGACAGGCTCGCGCCAGCTCGATATCATATCGTCCACCGAGACGATATGACAACATAGGTCCAGAGCCGATGGAACTAGGTTACGTAGAGAGCGAGAAGGCTCGCTCTACAGGCTACAAGAAGTTGCAGAGATGCAACAGATGTCAAAAGACAGGACACTACGCTTACGAGTGTAGTGCCCCTCGTCCAGTGTCTCGCAACACTGGGCGTAGTGACCGTCCACCCATGAGAAAGGGGCAGGGATGAGGGTCCGCTGTTGGTGCAAAGACGCAACAACGGGATGGGACGTCAAAAAACGGACAGGATCAGTAGGTGCGGAGCACCCTACTGGTCCAGCAACGTCAAGAAAATTTGTAGGCCTCTTGATTAAGGTTGCTCCCAACACACAAACGTTGTGCGTTGCTGCTCTAGGTAATGCGATCTCACTCATTACCTTGAAACTCGAAGTGACGAATAAGTTGTCCCTTCGAGCTCTAGTCGATTGTGGGGCGTCCAACAATTTTGTGCAAAGCCAATCGCTAGAAGATGGTCACTTCAAGCTTGTTAAATTGTGACAAACCTCCTACGAGGATGACGGTACGTCTTGCGACAGGCGCATCCGTAACCGTCATGAAGCGTATAGTGAAGATCCACTATACGCTAGAAGATACCCGATATGACGATGACTTTATCGTATTGGATTTGATGACAAATTTGATGTCTTCCTTGGAATACCGTGGCTCAAAAGGTACGAACCACGAGTAAACTGGCAAAATCGAACAGTAACGATGCCTGCCGCTTGATCGTCAGATGGCCATCTGATGAACGTTTTGGAGCGCCCACAAGCGTGTGGATGTACTACGAGTGAGTGCGATGGCCTCACTTGTGGTACGGTCGTTAGTACGACTGCACAGAACCTTAGTGTACCAAACGGTTACACTTCGGAGCAAGCTTCCGGCGGCTGTGAGGAAACACAGGCTGCGCCGAAGGTCCACGACTCGAATAAGTCGGTTGGACTGGGACAAAGATGTATCCCTAGCGGGGAACATCTAGAAGAGAAACAATCGATCGCTCACGTTAAGCGAAACGATAATCCTAGATCGACTGGAGAGTCTTTCGTAGAGGATCTCGCTGTAGTTGCGCAACCCCAGCTAGAGGAAGTAAAGGGTATAAGTCCCGATATTACAAATACGGCGGAAATAAGTTCCCCGAAACCCGCGGGAATAAGTCCCCGGGAAGCCGAAGGAATAAGTCCTTCGAGGCCTGAGGAAATAAGTCCCCAGGAAATGACAGAGACAATGAATGTCATAGTCAATAACGGATCAAGTGTAGGCGCTTATACACTTGATCTTATTGCGCCTCCGAAGTTGACTTCGGAGATCACTCAGTTGCCAACGCTCGAACATAAAAGGTTCTTGCGTGATCTGCGTAGAGGCAAAGTCAAGCAGATCTGCGTACTCGTCGCTGACGACGAGTGTGTAGCCGACATAAGGTCAGCAACAGTGTTTACTGAGAATGAGAGAGTTCTCAGTAGTTCATCGATGGACGAGAGTGTCCTAGATGAAAATACACGAATTGAGCGATATGACCTCCAATCGTGGGAATCGCTCAAGACAAATCCTCTTTATGAAGATTTGGTTGAATTCAAGGATGTATTCCCTGAAACTGTTCCGTGCGAACTACCGAAGGATAAAGTTACTCGACACGAGGTCGAGCTTAAACCAGGCTCGAAGTACTGTGTCATGAAGCAGTGGCCACTGCCTCGTGAACAAGTACTTGCGATCGATAAGTTCTTTGCTGATCGTTTTGCTGCGGGCCATGTGAGGGAATCAACATTCCCACATAGCTCTCCGACCTTCTGTGTGCGAAAAGCAACAGGAGGGTGGCGGATAGTGCATGCATTTAGCAAGTTGAATGCTGCAACGGTACCGGCTCAGACGACGATACCGAGGAAGGACGTAATCATTGATGGTATGGCAAAGAGTACCATCTTTTCGTCCATGGATTTGATGGATGGCTTCTATCAATCCTTGTGTGAGAACGGGATATACCCTATACCTCAGTAAGCACGCCTAGCGGTATGCTCTGGGAATGGCTAGTAATGCCACAAGGGCTTAGTAATGCCCCTGCCACGTTCAACAGATGTGTATCACATCTGTTGAGACCAGTACGAGAATTCGCGCCGAGTTATTTCGATGACGTATTCATCCATAGTCGAATTATGGATGGAAAGCCGGACGTTGAGGTTCACAGGTACCACGTCCGGCAGGTTTTTACAATCATGCGAAAGCATCAATTGTATGCAAACCTCAAGAAGTGTATATTTGCAGCAAGCGAAATACCACTTCTTGGGTGCATCGTTGGTAAGAACGGTGTACGTCCTGATCCCGATAAGATCAAGGCAAACACCGACTGGCCTGTGCCGGTTGATGTCAAAGGTCTTCGAAAATTCTTTCGGCTAGCGGCGTATTTGCACAAGTATTCACGCAATTACGACGAGATGACTGTACACCTATCTCGTTTGTTGAAAAAGAACGAGAGGTGGTTATGGAACGCTGAATGTCAACGCTCCTTTGAGGGTATCAAGCAGAGCTTGATACAATCCCCAGTCCTAGCAATAGCCGATCAGGACAGGCCATTTCATGTGGTCTGTGATGCCAGTGATTTCGCAATCGGCTGTGCATTAATGCAGTACGATTTTGAAGGCGTTGAACGCGTCGTCTGCTATCAGTAGCGTCCGCTGCAACCAGATGAGCGGAACTATTCGGTGCATGACATGGAACTCCTTGCCATGAAGTATGCACTCGCGAAGTTCAGAGTCTATCTATTAGGAGATAGACCCTTTATTGTTTACACTGACCATGCGTCATTACGCACGGCAGTGAAGAGCCCGCACCTTTCACAACGAATGGCGCGGTGGTTGTCATTATCTGCAGAATACAACTTTACGGTCGAGTACAAACCAGGACGACTTAATGTCGTCCTGACTTTGAACCAGTCGTGAAACCCAACAGTGAGACAGTCACTGTTGCTGTTATGACGTCCACCATACCATCTTTAACGTTGTATGATGATGTGAGGCGGGCATACGCCTAAGATGGTGAGATTGTGAAGTTGTTGACACATCTCTCCCAACAATGTCGAGAATCGTTAAAACGATTGTCGTCTGCTTATCGATCTGCATCAGATCGATACACTTCTCGCAACGGTTTACTGTATTATACAGCCGTTTCTGGTGACATACCACGTGTTGTCATTCCAGATGATACTGATCTGCGTTCGCGGATCATGTTCGAGTATCACGATGCTCGTATAGGAGGACATCGTGGCCAGGAGAAAACATGTCTCATGGTGAGTCGAGACTCTTACTGGCCCCGCCAGTATCAGTTTGTGAGAAAGTATGTTCGCGCATGCGAAGTCTGTCAACGAGTGAAGTCAAGTCCTTCACTGCGTGCACCTTTACAGCCTCTACCGGTTCCGGCTGAGTGCTGGGAATCCATCTCAATGGATTTCGTCCTCGGGTTACCCAAAGACGCACGCGGGAATACGAATATTCTCGCATTTGTTGACAGATTCAGCAAAATGGTACACCTTGTGGCTGTACCAGATCCAATCACGGCAAGTGGATGTGCTTGTGTCTTTATTGATACCATCTTCCGACTTCATGGGTTGCCCCGTGAGCTCGTATCAGACAGAATCCACGATTCACTGCTGATTTCTGGCGTTCCGTGTTCAAATCACTCGGAATGCGCTTGAAGATGTCTACATCTGGTCATCCAGAGTCAGATGGTGAGACGGAACGTGCCAATTGTGTCCTCGAAGAGATACTTCGAGGATACGTACACTCCTTTAAGAGTTGGAGTGAGTTTTTGCCAATGGTAGAGTTTGCCATCAACAACTCGGTGCATGCGTCCACGACACATACCTTGTTTTACGTGAATGGATTACGCCATCCGGGTGAACCCACCTTATTAGAGTGTAACTCTGGTTTAAGGGGGGGGGGGACTCGCGCGAGCAAAAACCGATTTGGTTCACGCTCTGACGAAGAGGTGGTTGCGTTTGATGCCGATATCGATAACATCGATATCGAAGAAGATGATGCCAGTGAGAGCGCGGAAGCCCTCACTGAAGAAAAGATTCATGTTGCTGCAGTGCACTCACAGCGCACTGAAGCTAACGAGTCATCAGATGAGTTCATACTGGCTCGTGAAACGGTAGTCCGTTTTGTGCAAGACTCCATCGCTGAAGCGGTGGATAAGCAAAAGCGAAATGCTGATAAGAATGGAATGGAAGGGCAAACACTCTTTTATTTAATAAAGGTGACTTATTCCTACTGTCTACGGTTAATCTACCAAAGCATGTAGTGACTAACTTGGGTAGCAGTAAACTACTACCCAAGTACATCGGCCCATTTCGTGTATTGCACCGCCTAGGCAATGCATACACGATCGAGTTGCCACGTAAGATGCGAACGCATCCCACGTTTTACGTTGGTCGGCTTAAGTCGTACCATCAGTACGCTGCTTCTTCCGATGAAGAACGCCCTTGCGCTCAAGCATCTCGCAGAGAGCCTTGTGCTCCCGATGGTGGGCATCAACAAGGGTCTGAAGAGCAGCTATCTCATCCCTAGACCGGTCGATTTCCACACGAGCTACCCTTAGCTCGTCAACCAAAAATGTCAAAGCTCTCTCGTTCTCAAGCTGAGCAAAGGCGAACTCATGTCGATGCTTCAAGACAGTGTCCGCCATTTGGAGACGCCTGTCCCGCTCATGTTCGAGATCGTTGCGTAACCCTTGCGTTACGCGATCAAAGAAGCTCTCGGGAACACACGGATCCCCATGATCGTGTGGAGAGCGTCTTTCCTCCTCCTCCACCTCCATTAGAGGACTCTCGCGGTGGCCAGCGCTATCTGGTTGAGCAGATGTTGAACCATCGCGACGTGAACGGACGTCGGACGAGTTATCTCGTCCAGTGGCGCTGCTATCCCCCGTCCTGGGATACTCGGGAGCCCCGCTACCAACTGATGGTTGACGTACTGGGTCTGGTTGAGCAGTACGACGCGGCACATCCTGTGCCGCAGAAGGACCGCCGGAGAAAGTCTTCCCGGCACGGTCGTAAAGGGATTTCAGGTTGTCAATCCCTTCGTACATCTTACAAGAGATACGTACGCGCCACCAAAGGCTAGTAAGGAGGTAAGCCTTTTTAGTTGCGCGCGCAGAGTTGTTCACACAACATGGGCACGAGTCTCCCCAAGAGAGGCAGGGTAATCCGTTTCTCCCTAGACAGACGATGCAGCTTGTAGCGTGCACCTGTCGGGGTTCGCTTTTCAAACTTATCACGAGCTTTGATAGGTTTGTCGTTCCAAGCGTCACGACCTACATCCTCAAGGTTATGGATGTAGGCGTTCCACGCCTGAAGCAGTGAGGGACCATCACGTTTGTGATTCCCACTGTACCATCGATGTCTAAAGAAAGCATCGATGAAGAGTTCATTCTCAGCGCGATAGTTTTTCGCGCTGGGGTCAAGGTGATGGATCCTTGACGAATCGAACAACCGTGTTCATTAACGATCACTCGTCGTCGCCGACAAGTGATCCATGACGGATTTTGGAGGCATCCATGCCTTCTTCTCGGGAGCGAGACGCAAGACATTGCGGTCCCGCTCTTCCTGCGACGTGCCGACAGAAGTACTGGCACCTCGTTGTGAAGTGGTGTCAATAGGAGAACCGACACCACTATTAGCGCCCGAGTCTTGCGACTTCGAGCGCCTTCGCTTCGGCGATGGTTCATCTGATTCATCGGATGATCCAAAGATGCTGCGACGCATAGCATCATCCATGCCATGCTTGGCAGGCGGCTTGGATTCGATCGCCGTCGATACGGATCCCTCTTCCATATCAGGAGAGTATAAAACACCGAGCTGATACTCTGTGAAGACATGAATGTCTTCATGACCAGCGTCACCAGGTGACACAAGTTGAGTTGCTTCAGCAACCGATAAGACATCAGTTGCTGCGGTTTCTGCTTCGGCGTCCGCACAGAGACGTGCGGACGCGCTCTCGGCGGCCTTGCTCGCGCATCGCATGGGCTTGTTAACCATGCGATGAATTGTTGGAAAGTGGACTCGGACCAACAAGTGCAAAACTCGTCCCAAATAATTTGGGACGGGTACCCATTTAGTCAATCATTCACTAAAGTGACTGATGGTTAAGGGGGGGGTGATGTAACGGGGTGAACCGTTACATAACAATTTATAAGAAATTGTTAATAGAATATAACTATGAGAGTTATATTCACAGAATATTGTCATAAGGACAAATACTCTGCAGCACTTACGAGTAGTTCTTCATTGGTTGATATAGGCCATTATATCAACCAACGAAGACGCGCCACGACAGACGCACACAATGAGTGGTGAGCAGATAGTTGATATGCACATTTGTATTTAGACATAGTTAGATGAAGATAAACAGTGATTTATTGCAGACATTAACTATTATAAATACAATTCTACATTTTATTAAAACCAAGTACTCGCTTCTTCTTACCGTCTTCCTCTGCACGTACGAGTGTACGTGAAGTTTCGAGGCACCGCCTTATTCTGTTATCAGAATTGGTAGCTTGTACTATTACCAGTACAAGCTTCAGGGTGCCTCGTTACAGTAGACGAGCAACCACGCTAAAGTGGCCGCCCTGCCAACCCGTGCAAGGCGTGTGATAGTTGGGTGGGCTAAAAGCCCTACTGGCCGAAAAGGCCCATCGTGTAATGAGGGGTGCGGGTCCTGTAAGGAGTTCAAACTGAGTCAGAGTACTCGCAGTTCACCGCAGGGTGATCAGAAGGACCGTGCGGCATAAATCTATTTACCACTAGCGTGAAGTTCAGCCATAATTGCGAGGATCAAGCACAAAAATCGTCGAACGTCACGTAATCATTCTATAGGGGATCAAGCTCTGGAGCTCGCCCTTGGATATAAGTAATCCGATTTAAAGAATGGGATCAAGCTGCAAAACACCCAAGTACAAAAGTCACGGAGAAAAGAGTCTGATGCTGTTCATGTCTGTATCAATTTGACACAGAGTACTCGAACAACTGGATCATCCTTTGCTTGTGAGTGTCCAGCATTTGCTTAGATGATCATATTCACCTTTGGTCGATTTTGAGCCAATCACATGCACGTATCACGATAGTCACCTAGCCAAAGAGTGAGTCGGATGTGCCCATACACCTATGAGGGGAGACAGACTAGATCTATAACGGGGTCACACTAGACATCGGCTAAATTGATTGAAGACCTCCCATATGAGGTACGGGAGACAAGTGTGGCCTCAGATTTTTTATCAAAGAGAATACCGACTTGTCGGTATTCTCTGAATTACGGTTCTTATCGTGGAAGTACTCTGCGATGTCTTCATTTGATGACTGAGTGATGTGCGACCATCCATTTAGTTCGAATACTAATATTTGTAGTAGTTTTAGTTTTGTCTGATATAGGGTACTTGAAGTAGGATTTTCCTTGATACAAAATCCGAATAAATTCAGTTCTTATTTTGAGCGGAAGTCCGTAGACCCCCTCCGCACGTTGCGCTTGACAGTTCCTTGGAACTGTCGTGGGTTTGAGAGTCCTTAGACTCCTGTATTTCCCTTTGCACATTGTGCGTGTAGTTCCTTATAACTACAGTAGTCTGTATTAATAGCTCATAGAGTCCGCGCTAAGATCCGTAGAATTCGCCGACTCTTTGACTTGATCTAATCGTTCCTTGGAACTAATTGGCTGTTAGCTGTAAGCCTCTGGCTTGTTAAAGAAGTCTCCCTCTGACTTTAGAGCTGTGGTAGCTCCGCTAAACCTGGTAGCACTTGTAATCAAATTTACACCTGAGTCGTTTCGACTTATCTTCTGTGAGAGATGGAAGGCCTTGACTACCTCTCTGAGGCTTAACTTATCGTGCTCGATAAGCTTAGATCGTTGTTAGGGGTCGATCAGGTCGACCACATTGGCCCAATGCCCAGAAGTGCTTAATGGACGTCTTGGTGTATTTATGCAGTTTAAGGCCATGCTGATAGGGCAGATCCACGATCATTTAGCCTCAGCCGTACCTACACGGTACTTTACAGTACCTGACAGTGAGTCAAAGACTCGTCCGCTCACTCTTAGCGTTTAGACTTTCGAGAAGAAAGAGGGGGAAGTCTCATTCTCTGGATCCGAGAAATCGATATGGTTATTGAAGCCGTCTTGCTTCATCGGAGCATCAGAATGTTGGCCTAGTCATTTCTAAGCTCGGTAATAGATCCAAAGAATGGGATTCGGCCTGTGATACGTCGTTTAGCGCTTCATTTCCCACATACAATACGCTTATACGAGATATTTCTCGAATGTTCGCGCCACCAAATTAAGCGTATCGTGTTCGCTCTCGATTCCTTGCCGCCAGGCAGGGAATGAGAGAATTATCGGACTTTGTCCAAGAGTTGCGAACTCTCATAGCTGCTATGCAGCTGGACCCACTTCCAGAGCAAGCCCGTGTCATCATTTTTATGGAGGGCCTTCTTACAGATATCGCGAAGACTTAAGTCTTCCGCGTCACTCCTCAACGTTTGAAGGGGCCGTAGACATAGGGTTGAACGCTGAGTTAAATTTTAAAGCCGCTCGCTATGGCACTCATGGGCATGCCCAAAGATCATCTGACGGGGCTGAGCCCATGGACCTCAGCCATGCTGAAGAAGAAGAAAAAGATCTTTTGGCTGTTGAACAGCAACGTAACATCCGTTGATGTTACATGTGAAGGAGCACCAAGCACTTGCGCCCTCAGTGCCCACTGCAGAAGCCACGTCAAAGTCGGCCGAGTCGCAATCCGCCTCTCTGCCCGAAATTGGGTACGGAGCGGGAAAACGGCAACTCCCAGTAGGCGCGGTGCGCCCTACTGGGGAGGAACTAGATTCTGCCGAACCTTTAGGTGGTAGAGAGACAGGGCTTAGCCTTAGACGGTCTAATGAAAATTTCCACGAGACGTGAGTATAAGCCAGGCTTGTTAGTGGCCTCGTCTAAAATTGAAGGGATTTAGAGAGCCGTGGTCTATTTTGATTGACTCTGGGTCGTCGGGCAACTATGTCCGGCGCCGATCCCTTGAGGGATGTCATCAGCATGATGAGGCGCTCGAAGCGCATGAGGGTGATGTTATCACTGTTCGCTTGACGATAGGGACCCGTGTCACCGTAATTAAGTTCCATTGAACTTAGGCGTTTAGTTTCCAGACTTCGATAGTATCGAACGTTGTCTTGTCTTTGATTTGGACATACGATATGATCTCATCCTTGGGATGGCTTGGCTGGAAATCCAAGAATCATGGATAAATTGGAGGTCAAAGACCTTAAGAACAACGCACAATGTTACTGGCAAAGCTTTGGGGAGTCATGAACCCACCTTTGCTAGGAAATAAAAGCGATATCGGTGCGAGCCACTAACTGAGTCTGTGAGTGTGCTGAACATCAAAAGGTTTGTGTCAATTGACTCAGCTGTCATTGACGTTAGTAAAACGGCAAGTAATTCGTTGATTGAAACTGGTAATAGTGAATCACTGAATGCAGTAGCAGTGATGGTCCAGAGCCGAGTCATCCTGGGTGTGATCTCTCTGATGCGCGTGGAGTGGCACGTAAATTTGTACCGGGTGAGGGAGGCTCCGATAGCACCCCACTGAATGTCTGCAATGAACTTGTTGGTACTTTATTTTGTTATCGAGAGCATGCTCATCTGATGCGAGAATAGTGGAGAGTAATCCACTGAGTGAGGTCGGCCATGATGGCACCACACTGAAGGTCGGTTATGGCATTCTTGGCGATACGCTCAGGCATAAAAGAGCCATGCTTAGTTGGTGCCAACATCGTGGAGGGTAATTCACTGAGTGAGGTCGGCCGCGATAACACCACACTTAATGTCGGTGATGACATTGTCTCTCAGATAGAGCAAGTTGAGGTTGAAGATGATCTATACCTCGTGAAACCGAATGTTTCTAACACTTTGAAGTGTTCAGTTTTTGTGCAGAGACGGCAGCGACGCCAGATGGCTGCTGCAAAACGAATGGCATCTGCCATCTCCCAAAAGGACACAGTGAGCAGTTTTAAAACATTGGTCAATGGGGTGACAGCCGATATCGATGGA